GCAACTTCACGACGTAACGACAGCGACATCATTTTGTCGACAAATGTCGCCTTGAAGCCAGCTTCTTAAACATTTTGAAGACCTCAGCGACATAGCAAACAGCTGATTTTAAAGTTTGACATTTTGGTATATTTATTTCACAAATTGTGTATTTTTATTTAAGTAAATAAGAAAAACATGAACAATCAAGAATATGTGATTAATTTTGCGACAATTTAATTTTGCAGCACTACATCTACTCATTGTCGCCGGCAAAATTAGAAATAGATTTAATTTGGCGACGTCGACAATTGCAGTCCTGCAGCCAAGATGTCGTGCTGCCGTCAAAATAAGAACGTGTGTATTTAAAATTTGACAGATGCTGCTTGTAGCTTGCTGTCGTCAAAGTGTTCCGAGCTTATTCGATAGTACCGCCACTCGATAGTTTTCGAAACGATAGTTGAAAACATCGATAGTATCAATAGTACTATCGTCGTGACAGGTATAGAATTGAAACGCTCAATTGCTTGAAAATTAAATAATTAATAAATTTATAAAATTTATAAATTACTTTGTAAATTAAAGACATTGTGCATTTTTTTTAATTTGGGTGCATAAAAAATAACTTTTTATGATAATAAAATAAACTTATTAATTTATGCGTCTGAGTTATATAACTTATATGCATACCCTTGGACCCCCTTGAATAGCGACAGGCAAAATCTGAATTTATTTTTTATATGGCAAAATTAAAATCGCATTGTGTTTAAAGTGCAAAGAAGTGAAATTGGCTATGAAAATACATTTATATTACTACAAAACAAACAACATAAAAGATATTCTTTTAGATTGAAAACTTATTCTTATAAAAGTTCAACTGAGATCAAATACGGAGGCGCATATCAAAATCCGGACAAGGGAAATTATTAACATTTTACCATTTTATAAGAAAACGAATATAGTACTGCTCAAACTAATAGCATCAAAATATTTTTTTTTAGCAATTTGGCTACTTTTTTGTTTGTTTAGTGTCTACTAATTTTTTATAAAAGTTGTCCAAATNAAAAGTTCAACTGAGATCAATTACGGAGGCGCATATCAAAATCCGGACAAGGGAAATTATTAACATTTTACCATTTTATAAGAAAACGAATATAGTACTGCTCAAACTAATAGCATCAAAATATTTTTTTTTAGCAATTTGGCTACTTTTTTGTTTGTTTAGTGTCTACTAATTTTTTATAAAAGTTGTACAAAACATAAAAAACGACAATATAATTAAAAATTCAAGCTTTTTAATTCTAATTCTGTAAAAATTTTGTGTAAGCATTTTTATAGCTTATTAAATTTTACCATAACTCAGTGTAAGCTGATAGTTGCTAAAAATCCCAATGAGTTAGTTTTTTTTTTTGCCGACTGTGTTGTGAATTTTCTTGCATAAAAAAAAATGCATGTAATGTGTAGAGATGTAAAGAAGAGACATTGGGCCTCAGCACACTAGCCTGCTAAGTCGGATTGAGCAGTCCACCAGTCGAACGCACACTGGACTTGGCAGTCGGACGAAAACAGGTTTCAGTTTTGTAAACATGAACTCGCATGATTGTGTTAGTGCATGTGACACATGCAAACAAAACGAAATAAAAAACATGTTGTCTATGTGTGCGTGTCAGTCCACGGCAAACCGCGATTTTCGCGGACTGAAATGAACGAGGTAAACTCGAACTCTTTTTTCCCTCTTATCCACACAAAACCGGTTAAGGCGGACTGAGCAGTCCAGTGTGCGGAGGCCCATTGTGAAGTCTTGCTAAACCGCCATCGATTGTTTTCAAAAACTATCGATAGTGGCGATAGTTTTAAACTATCGATACTATCGATAGTATCCCAGTTCTACGACGTTTCTTCTAGTTCTAGTATCGAGTATTTACTTATCTCGTTTGTTCCATATTTTAAGAGGTTAGTGTTCGAATATTTTATTAGGGCTATTTGAGGTGCCTACCTTTATTTTTTAACGTAACAATTTAAAATTTTAAGATGGAAGAGTATGCGCGAGAGCCTTGTCCTTTCAGGATTATTGATGACTGCGGTGGTGCTTTTGCTATGGGTTGCATAGGTGGTGGAATATTTCAAGCTATTAAAGGGTTTCGTAATGCTCCGTCTGGCCTAAACAAACGTTTGGTAAATATGCTTAAATTACAACTTTGTTCAGTATGTATGCAAAATGCAGATCCTTAGAGATAGAAGGGGTCATACACACGGTCGTGAACGGCGAGGAAACTCGTCCTATGAGTAATTTGTTAAGAGGGAATTTACATTTTCATTTCATTTCATTTATTAATAAAATCATTAGCACAATAAGATCAAAAGAATGATCTTTTATAGCGCAACAAAAAATTCATAACAGTACATGCATATAACTAAAACAGCAAAAATTACTTAAGACTAAATAAAAGTAACATAATATAATTAACAGAGTAGTATTTTTAAGTGAGTTCTACAATTCCAGGACATATACTTAAAATAAGACTTAATTAAACAAGTACATAGGGAGCACATCACAGGGACTGAAGAGAAGCTAACGGAAATATGCATACAGAACATTTTTAGAGTTGCTTTTGTTTAAACTATGCGAATATGGGATGGAATAGAGTTCCAGATGCGGATAGCATTGACAAAGAATAGCCGTCCAGGGCTGAGATAATTGTAGGTAGGAACAGTCAAGTCCTTTACTCGAGTGGATTTGGGGAACGCTAATTTTTCATATAGGTATTTGGGTGCCTTATCTGTCATGAGACGAAAAAGGAATACACAATTTCTAACTTTAAGATATTCAGAAATTTCGCAGCCAAGTAGGCGCGTTCTCCAAGCGGAAATATGTTCATATTTTGCTAGCCCAAACACATAGCGCGTGATCTGGTTAAATACTACATCTATTTTGTGAGCTGATTGTATACTACCTCAGAATAACAGATAATTGGCATTATAAGTTGGATTGCGAGTTTACGTCTGATTTCTATCGGTGTAAATGGAGCAGACATTCGTAAATTCCTTAAAGCATTATAGACTTTGCCTACAGTTGAATTCACATGGTCAATGCAGGTAAGGCCAGTGTTGATAATAAACCCAAGGTTAGTTACTTTTGACACAAATTTAATTGGTTTGCCACCAATGTGTAACGATGGAATAGTTGCTATCGTCTTAATTGTGACAAGTGTTTTGTATTACCTATTTGTAAGAAACGTCTTAACC